ACTTTATTTGTGGAAGAGGAAGGGCACGTGGGGCAAGGCCCTGATTTTAAATTCAAGCAGTGGTTAGGTCCACCATACTCTGGTGAAACACACACCCTGTCCTCCAGTTGTGCTCTAGCCTGTTTATTTTGTTAAACACTGCTTGACTGTCCCCTCGAGTCACCAGGAAAGAAGGCAGCTGCTATGTAATAGGATCCCAGGGAGCTGACTTTGCCCAAGGTCACTGGTGAGTCACAGGGCTGGATTTGTTTTGAAGGCCCTGGCTCTTCCTGTCTACCTGCCCATTACTCTAACCCCCTCCTGACCCACGTGGGCTGTAGGCAGGAAGGCTATAGTGGCTTCTGACCAGCTTCCTGCTGTTGTCCCACCTCCCTCCTCCTCATCAGGTCCCTGTGAGTTAGAGGCACTTCCCCACTGTCCCAGTCCCTCTGTGTGTGCATGGTCCTACCTGCCAGCCTCTCCTCGCTGACTTTCTTAGCTTCTAGACACATCTCAGACAGGCCTCCAACAGGGCCCTCTAGTGTCCAGCCAGGTCTTTCCCATAGACAGCAATGATGCTAGTCCAGATGACTAAGGTCAGGCCCTGCAGGGCCTTGCAGTGCCAGCTGCCTCATTACCACCCGCAGGTACACAGGCCCTCTCAGGAAAGCCCTGCATCCTCCGGTGGCTGCTGTCAATCGTAAGTCACCTGATTCCAAATTCCAAACTTCCTCATTCTCCAAAGATGCTTCCTGAGGCTGTTCATGGAGCTGTCCTGGCTGGCCTCATGGGAGAGACAGAAAGGGGGTATGGGTCACCCCTTCCCCAGGTCTGAATATTGCTCTGAACCCAGAGCCAAGTTCAAGAGCTATGTGGTGAGCAGGCAGCCCTTGGGGGATGGAAGAATTTAGGACAGAACCTTCTGAGCTGGGCTGCACTTGTTAAAGCCTCTTTGGTTGAGTGGAGGATGAGTGGCTTTGCCTTGGGATCACCAACCTAAGCCTGATCACTGAGGCAGAGGGGGACAAAGAGCACAGCTTTGGCTGGGCTTGTGGTCAAAATTCAACCAGAACGGGGAAGTGATAAGCCTTGGGCAGCTCTGACTGAAAGAAACAAAACTGAACACACTAAGGCGGGTGGTAATAGGAATGGATTTCGGCATCAATGCCACCCAGATTAGCTGTGTGCTCCTGAGCAGATTACCCAATGTACCTGAGCTGAGACGGTTGTAAAGTGGGGCTGATGACCATACCTACCAAAAAAGATGTTTAGCAGAAACTGAAAGGTGACATAGAGTGTATTTAACATAATGCCAACACTGGCGCTGGTGCGGCCAGCTGGCCTGCCCCACTCCTCATGGCACGAGGAAGCCTGGCAGGTCTGTTCTTCCCCTGGAAGCATCTATCCATCTGTGCCCCGCAGCTCTGCTCCTCTTGAGATGGGAAATATCCCAGGGTCAAGTTTCACTATCTGTCAGGTCCTGAGGATCAGCATGGTCGCCCAGGATGTGACATGTCTGAAAGCTCACTGGATACCAAAACCAACAGGTAAAGAAAAGGGAGAGGAGGAGCAATCAGGGACTTTCTGATTCTTTGCCTTCTCCTGTTTCTGTGACAGCTCACAAAGCACCACTGCCAACTCTCCTGTGAACAGACACCATGTGTTCCTGCTTGCACTGGACAAGGAGACAGCCACGGGCAAGCCACAGAAACAAGCCATGGGTTAAGACCTCTAAACACAGAGCAGAAGTAATGTAAAGGTTAAGGTAACAGATTTTATGTAAGATAAAATCTGTTCTGCATAATTTCTTAGAAAGGGTAAATACATATGTGAACATAGGAGAAACTACACCAAGAACTTCTTTTTATTTATTTTTCACATGCCTTTGACAAGGATGCACACTAAGGCAAGGTCATTCTTTTTTTTTTGGGGGGGGGGGGTGCCAAGAATTAAACTTTGGGCACTTGGCCACTAAGCCACACCCCAGCCCTATTTTGTATTTTACTTAGAGACAGGGTCTCACTGAGTTGTTTAGCGCCTCGAATTTTCTGAGGCTGACTTTGAACTTGTGATCCTCCTACATGATCTTCGTATCTCAGCCTACCCAGCCACTGGGACCACAGGCGTGTGCAACCACGCCTGGCTTGTGAGATTATTCTTTGACAGTTACAGTAAACAGAATAAAAACCTTAAATGAGAAACAGAATCGCTGTACATTGGTGTCACAGATCGGAGGGAGTCTCAGCTAGGCACCCAGCTGGGTCGCCTTGGGGAGATCACTTCACTGTTTTGAGACAACAGCTTTCTGGATTTCTGAAATAAGGATGTGGGACCAGACTGCCTCTCCCTTGGTCATGTGAATTTTATGAACTCCCACACCCAGGATGATCTTCAAAGAGGAAGCACCATGAACTCTCCCTGTTTGTAGGTGACACGGAACCCCTGAAACCCCATGGGGTGAAGTGCAAAAGGTCTGGAGGAAGTGGTAGGAAGGTGGCAACTGTACTTCCCAGAAGGCAGATGCAGGGGGAATGTACTGAGGGGAAGATCATGCAGATTCACTTGAATTTGATGGCCCTTGTGCCATCAAATGATATGGAAAAAGCTGCACATCCCCAGGCCTCCATTGGTTTTAAAGAGCCAACCCAGGCCAGGGCACCATTCAGGGTGAAATCTGGAAGCAAACCAGAAGTCCCCAGCCTGTTCTCTATATAAAATCATCCAAAAGCCTCTAAAACTCAAGAGAAGCAAAGCATTAAGAGAATGATCAGAGGGCTGGGGTTATGGCTCAGTGGTAGCCTGCGAGGCCCTGAGTTTGATCCTCAACACTACATAAAAATAAATAAATAAATAAAGATGATTCATGTCCAACTAAAAAATAAATATTAAAAAGAGAGAGAGAGAATGATCAGAGAAAGACAGCATTAGGCTACTACAGAATAAGATTTCTCAGCATAGATCTGCAGATATGGTATATGACCCAATGCACAAAGGGGAAATAAGACCTTTTCACCAAATTCCAGGGCTTGAATCCTTCAAGAGACAACATACAGATATCTAACAGGAAGGGCTTCTAATACCCGGGCAGCAGATATCTGGAATACATCACAACCAGGGAGAGGCACAGAAGGAAACAGGAAGACCTTTAAGAATGGTTGATAAATGGGGTGATAAACTGTGATGTTTCTAAGGGATGTTTGGGGGTTCACTGACCATTTTTAGCTTAAAAATCTGATAGTATAGTCCTACCCTCACACTACACAGCCTTCACCCCCACTAATGGAGGCAGGACAAGGCAGGATGAGCCACAGAGCTTCTTGAGACAGGCCCTTCTGTGGGCTCTGAACTCCTGCCTTGCCAAGTAAAGAGAACAGTCATTTTCTTCTGCCTACCTGAATGAGAAAACAACAAAGCAACTTTACCTCAGTTAGGCTACTTATAAGAGTTTCAGGAGCCAAATTCCAACTGTTTGTTGGCAATGGAACTGACTTCTGATGTCCCAAAATGCCATGGACCCCCTTTTACTTTGAGAAAAGTACAAATACCATAGAATTAAAATATTTTTTAAAACCTAGTCATATTAAAAATTCCTTTTTTTCTCCATCAATCAGGCTGACCCAAAGCTGCTTTCCTGTATCTCAAAGGTTCCTTAGAAGAGTATGGCTAATCATGACCCTTATCTTTTCTCCTTTTTCTCCACATATAGCACCCTTCCATGGGCAGAATCCTAAAATAACAAGGAGTCCGGATTAGCATAGCTGTGAGGAGTAGGTGCTTAGCTGAAGAACATTAGAATTAATTAGAGGTCGGACCCCATACAGAGCCACCTGGTGGGCATGGACACCAAGAAGGAACGGGTTGTTTTCTTCAACCAAGTGCTACCCCCTCCCCCCAATTATCTCTGCTTCAGCTAGTCCCACATACTGCACGCCCTCTGGCCCGGAGGGCAGGAGCACGGCGCCCTCACCTTTCAGCAGGTCCGGGTGCACGTAGCCCAGCACGTCCGAGACCCCCAGCTCCTGGCGGGAACAGGTGCCTCCGTGGATGTGCAACCAGGCAGGCTCGGCGAGGGCAGTGCACAGCGCCGTGATAGACAGGGCGCCAGGCAGGGCCGAGGCCAGGCTACGCTCCGGCTGCTTGGGCAGAGCGCTGCCTCCCGGACTCCTCCGCCGGCGCCCGCCGGGCAGCCCTGCGCCTCCAGGGGCATACATGCCCGGGGCTGCCCACCGTCGCTCTGCGGTCGCTGCTGGTCGCCGCCGACCTCCGCGGGGCGCGCAGAGCCTGCCTGTCCCTGTCCCGGGAAGGAGAGCGATGCACTGGGTTACCGGCGCGAGGCTGTAAGAGCCGAAACCAGGGGGTGGGGGGTGGGACCCAGGGCGGAGCGGAGGCTGGAGGACTGCGGGATTCGGGGGGCGGGGACGGGGGACTCTGGATTAGAGATGCGGGACCTAGGCAGAGAGACGGTCGGAGACCAGGTGGGGTCTGGGCACACCGGGACAGAGAAGGCGGAGGTACTGGGGATCGACCACTGGTGGTGGTATGTCTGCACCCCGGACTCGGGGCCAGAAGGTGCCCAGAGTCGGAGGACGCGGCTGGGCCGCGGGGATCCGGGACCGATGGTCGGGGACCGGCATTTTGGGGTACAACCTGCGCGGAAAAAAAGACCCTCCCCATGCTGCCCCCTGCTTCTCACCGGTTAGCAGGCCTCAGGGCTGGAATGGCGCCGCTCCGCCCCGTCACGGGCTTCTTAGCTGCCCGGGGCCGAGCTATCCCAGGCCCCAATCCCGCAACGCCCAGACCGACCCGGTCCGATGCACTTCCGGCTTCCTCCTCCTGGGCCACCACCTCCTCCGGCGTCGGGCCCCGTCCCCCGCGCGCGTCACGGCGTGCGCGCGCCGCCGGCTCCGCGCAGGGCCTCACGGGACTTGCAGTTCGCCGCGGGCCCGCGATTCTTCTGCCGTGTGTGGGGCGTAGCAACTACAACTCCCAGAGGGCCGCGCGGCCGCGGGCCCTTCAGTTCCCAGGACTACCCCGGCCCGCGGGCGGAAGCCGGAGCTTCGGAGGCCGCTGGGGCCTGGAGCTGGCGACACCGAGACGTGCGCCTTGGGACCTGCTGTCGGCGCGCCAACTGCCCACCACCTCTTGCCCCGCGCCGCCATGAAGGACTCGTTGGTGCTGCTTGCCCGCGTCCCGGCGCACCCCGACTCCCGCTGCTGGTTCCTGGCCTGGAACCCCGCGGGGACCCTGCTGGCTTCGTGCGGTGGAGACCGTAGAATCCGCATCTGGGGCACCGAGGGTAAGGCCTGGCCTGGCTGCTTGAGCCTGGCGCATAGTGTGAGTGCCCGGGGAGAGGCGACTTTCGAATGGCTATCCGGAGACGAGCTCGTCAAAGGAAGGAGTCTGCACGTACTGGCGCGTCTGCGGACCGCTACCGAGGGTGGTCGGATGGTAGCCTGTGGAGTGACTTGCAACTGGATGGGAGCGTTTAAATTTTATCTTGAGGTCATTGGGGAATGTTGACAGTTTCACATTGGGAGGGTGAAGCCTCAGAGTTGATGTGGAAGGCTTCTTCCAGAGGAAGTAGTCAATTGCATCTTCATTAAAGCACATTGTTAAACTACACCGATTTGGCCTGGTCGGACAGCAGGCTCCAGGTATAGCTTCTGTTATTGAATGGCAGTGACAGCGCTCCAACACCTTCTTGTGCATCCAGCTCCAGAGCCTGACCTGTCCTCTGCTTGCAGGTGACAGCTGGATCTGCAAGTCTGTTCTTTCTGAAGGCCATCAGCGCACTGTGCGGAAGGTGGCCTGGTCCCCTTGTGGGAACTACCTAGCCTCTGCCAGCTTTGATGCTACCACTTGTATTTGGAAGAAGAACCAGGATGACTTTGAGGTAACCAGGCTGCATGGGGCTGGAATCATTGTGTGCTCTCCAGGGCAGGTTTAGGAACCTGAGCCAACCTAGTTCAGTCAGGCTGTAACAGTCAGAAGGCTATAGCCTTCACTTAGAAACTGTGACCTTAAGTTTTGGCTAAGTTCTAGGAGTCACAACTGCTGTTAATTCTCATTCCTTTCTCTTTTCAGTGTGTAACCACTCTTGAAGGCCACGAAAATGAGGTCAAGTCAGTGGCTTGGGCCCCCTCTGGCAACCTCTTGGCCACCTGCAGCCGAGATAAGAGTGTGTGGGTCTGGGAAGGTGAGTCCTGGTCCCTCCGGGTGTAGTGGACAACCAGCTCATAGACATCCCTGTGTCCATGACAGGATCACATCTTGGGCTCCTTTCTGTTCCATAGTTGATGAAGAAGATGAGTATGAATGTGTCAGCGTCCTCAATTCCCACACACAGGATGTCAAGCATGTGGTTTGGCACCCGAACCAGGAGGTCAGAATTGGGCCAGGTCTCTTGGTGGGAAGGAACTTTGGCATGCAGGCTTGTGTCCAGCCTTCCTCTGCTCTGCAGCCTCTACTTGGCTTTTATAGGAATTTCTGTGGCCAAAAAGATTAGTCTTTGTATATAAACAGATCCCTGGGCCTGTTCTGGCAGGGGGAGGTATTGTAAATGACAGGTACTGCCTGGGCCATGCAGACAACTGCTGGATCTCCTTCCCTCCTCCCCCAGCTATTGGCTTCTGCTAGCTATGATGACACGGTAAAGCTGTACCGGGAAGAAGAGGATGACTGGGTATGCTGTGCCACCCTTGAGGGCCATGAGTCCACTGTGTGGAGCTTGGCCTTTGATCCCAGTGGCCAGCGACTGGCATCTTGCAGTGATGACCGTACAGTGCGCATCTGGCGTCAGTATCTGCCAGGCAACGAACAAGGTGAGGGTCCAGTAGTAGAGCTAAAGGGACAGACCCCTCCATCTAGAGGTGTGCTGTCTGATAGGACACATCCATGAACCATAGCAAACTCAGGTAAAAAGTAATGTGCCGCAAGAGGGCTGCAGGTGGTGCTGGGAGAAAGGGGGAAGGCTGTGCAGAACAGCCATCTTATCCAAATCTGAAAGGATAGGTAGGATTTTAACACAATGGGAATTTACCATGAGAAGAGAATGCAGAGTGAAAGCCCAACAGCACAAATAGAGGTTGGTGGTGGGAATGCCTAGACTTACATGAGGAATAGTGACACAGGAATTGGGGAGAAATAAACTGGGCTGGCTTGACTCTTGATGGCCTTAAAAGGCCAGCTAACTAGTCAGAGCCTGCAGCAGAATAAGGAAATTTTCTTCTCATGAGTCTGCTTTCTGGCCAGTGTGTAAGGCAGATAATGAGGATGGGGACAGGATTAGAGATAAGGGCAAATGATGGTTTGAAGGTTGGGGTGAGGGAGGGCAAGATGGGTTTTCCTCTGCAGTGGTGCAGTGACTCCCCAGAGGTCCCCAGGACCTAGACACATCTGGGGCTTAAGAGAAGTCTGTCATGCAGGGGTGGCATGCAGCGGTTCCGACCCCAGTTGGAAATGTATCTGCACTTTGTCGGGCTTCCACTCCAGGACCATTTACGACGTTGCTTGGTAAGACCTCCGTCCCCGACTTCCCCATCTACCATAGGAGGGGTTTTAGAGATGTCAGAACCCTGTGCTGCCCTCCACCATCTCAGGAGTATGTGGGAATAAAGAGCAGCTACCCTGATGGCTGTCAGATCAGGCCTGTCACCTGGGTGCAGTGGTACCCATCTGTAATCCCAGTGATTTGAAAGGCTGAGGCCCTAAACAGCTTAGCAAGACCCTGTCTCAAAAATCATCATCATCATCATCATCAAAAAGGTGTTGGGTATGTAGCTCAATGGTAAATTGACTCTAGGTTCAATCCCCAGTACCCCCCCCCCAAAAAAAAAGTTAGGCCTGTCTATGTGTTGGCTTGAAGTTGGCTGGCCTAGTGCTTAAAGGAGGAGGGAGCAGACTTAGACCCAGGCCTGTCCCAAGATTAAGATCCCAGACTGTGAGGGCAGCATCAGCCCTTAGGGCTCACATCATCCTGGAATTTGTGAATTTGTGAATGGGGTCTTTATTGTTTGGTAATAATGGAGGCTAGAAAAACCATACCATTCCTATAGGAGAAGAGGTCAGAGAGCAATTCTGACCCTGAGAATTGGATCTAGGAAATAATTCTAAACCATGAAGAAAATTGATGTGCATCCAAGCTTTATGTATATTAGCAAACATTTGAGAATAACAAAATTCAACAAAAATGGATTTACATAAATTATGGTAAAACTCAATAGCCTGTTTAATAACTGTTTTAAAAAAGGTTAAGAATACTTTATGACATGGGCAACTGCTATGCTACATGAGAAAAGTTCCATTAAGAATTGTGTGTAGGTTAATTATTTACTTCAGGCTAATTATACCAAGGGAAGCTGAGCAAAGCGGTGCATACCTATAATCCAAGACTCAGGAGGCTAAGGCAGGAGGACTACGAGTTTAAGACCTGCATGGACAATTTAGGGAGAGCCTTGTCTCAAAAAGTAAAAAGGGCTGGAGATAGAGCTCAGTGGTAGAACACCCCTGGGTTCAATTCCTAGTTCTACCAAAAAAATTTTTTTGTACTGAAAGCTAAATCAAAGCACCTGAAGAGGGCCATGGTTTGGCTCGTAGTTGGGAAAGCTTTTCCAGAAAAGTTTTTAGTCTTCCAGCTAAGGCTGGAGGTTTGGGAAGACAACAGGTACAGGAATTGCCAGGTCAGGGAGGCAGGAGCAACCTGCAGACCTACTGGTGTCTCTGTTCCTCCCAGGTGTCAGCTGACAGGGGCCCTGGCCACTGCTTGTGGGGATGATGCCATCCGGGTGTTTGAGGAGGACCCCAGCTCAGATCCACAGCAGCCCACCTTCTCCCTGGCTGCCCACTTGCGACAGGCCCATTCCCAGGATGTCAACTGTGTAGCCTGGAACCCCAAGGAGCCTGGGCTCCTGGCTTCCTGCAGTGATGACGGGGAGGTGGCCTTCTGGAAGTATCAGCGGCCTGAAGGCCTCTGAGCTACTACAACTTTGGAGTAAAGGTTCCCCAGGAAGTTGAAAGACTTCTAGTCCTCGGGGACCTGGAAAAGCTTGCTTGACCTTCATTTAGCCTGGCTCACCTCTCCTGAGACCTGCATGGCAGTGTGGAACCACAGGACTTTCCCTCCTTGGTCCATGAGGACCTTGGTAAAGAGCCACAGGATGTCTACATTGTTAGCCAGAGTTTGTCTGCTTTAGGGGACAGTGTGTTACATTTTGGGGGATGAATATAGTATTTATAATCACGGCATACGTGTGTGTGTTTCTGTATGTAGGTGTGCAACAGGGAGTGTACTTCAGACCTTCCTGACAGTGTGAGCTTTATAGAACTAATCCATTCAAGTCCAAAGTCCTATTTCATGAAGACATTCAATCTTTCCCATTGTGGACTGTCTAAGTCCTGCTTTCCCTCAGAAAACCTCTTGTGCCATTATTCTGATGCCAACAGAGGAAATGAGAAAATAAATGGGAAAGACATGAGCCCCAAAAGGGAGAATTATATTTGGCCACAAGCCATACTTTCTCAGTAAAGAAGAAAATTGGGTCTCAACTTGTTGAAAACCATGGGTTTGGATGTGTTGGTTGTCCCCAAGGCACAGCCTTCACTCTGCTTGTTACATTGTAGAACTTGTAATCTTAGATTTTGGAAAGGTATCTAGAACACTTTTCTCAAGATCCCGAGACTCTTTTGGGGATTGGTACTGAGCACAACCATGGTAGTAACCCCTAACTAGTAGTAGTAGTTGTCATTGCCTGGCACCTACAGTAAACACACTGCTGACTTCACCTAGACGTGGCCTTGATAGAAGCAGTAAAAATGGTTAACTGTATTAAATGTTACCCTTGAGAACATTTATAACACTAAGAAAATGGGAAAGAAGCATAAAGTACTTCCTTCCACAGTCTCATGTGTGGCTGTCTTGAGGGAAAGCACGTGTTCAGTTGAGTCACAAGCTGTTAGCTGCAGTCTGCATGGCACACCGTTTTTACTAGGAAGACTAGCAAATCCTAGTATTGGGACTTGGTTATTTGACTGACATCTGGAAAATGAAAAGATGAACCATTTATTGTTAGTAGTCACTGCCAATGATAAACTGAAAGCTTATGTCAGAATAAGAATTTCTGAAAACTTTTAGAGCCACCACTATGAGCTTTACTAGTAGTTATTTGTTATTGCTTAACAAATGTGATTTGTGTAATGAAAGGTATTAACATTTCAAAGATCTGTCATTCAACAAATTACCATTTTTCTTCTCCCTGATTTGTTTTGGAAGTTTTTTTTTTTTTTTTTTTTTTTTTTGTAAAACATATAACAGTGGGGGGGGGCTGAGGCTGTGGCTCAGTGGTAGAGCGCTTGCCTAGCATGTGTGAGGCACTGGGTTCAATACTCAGCACCACATAAAAATAAACAAATAAAGGTCCATAATCTTTTTATTTATTGGGGATTGAACCCAGGGCCTTGTGCATGTAAGAAAAGCACACTACCAACTGAGCTATATCCCCAGCCCAAAGTCCATATATCTAAAAAAAAAAAGATATAACAACGATGAGGTTATTTTTAAACAAGTTGTTTTAAAATTTTAAATATAGCAAGTAAAAAAAGAACATAACCTCAATAAAAAAAAACAAGAACTTTGGTTTAATTTTGTACAGTGTAAAAGGGGTTTTGAGACAACTGCCTATCTAAGGAAATTGCCCTATGGAATCCACCCTCATTACTGGGGCTGGAACCCAGGGCCTCACACGTGGCAGGCAAGCATTCTACCAGAACTACATCCCTAGTGCTTATCTTAACACAGGGTCTCCCTAAATTGCCAGGCTGACCTGAAGCTTGGAATCCCCCTACCTCAGCCTCCCCAGTAGCTGGGATTACAGATGCACACCACCACAGCCAGCTACCTTTTATTATTTTTAAAAATATATATATTTAGTTGTTGATAGACCTTTATTTTATTCACTGATTTATGTGGTGCTGAGAATCAAACCCAGTGCCGCGTAAGCTAGGCAAGTGCCTTGCCCCTGGAGCCACACCCCTCAGCCCGATACCTTTTAATTTTGATCACATTTATTCCTAAAGAACAGAAGGCAAGAACTTGAAGAGACTGAGGTGTGCATTACAAAACCAGTTTACAAGCCTGGTTGCGCCCAGCTGTGCATTTTAACCCCTTCTGGGACTGCGTTTCACAATGCAGACCTGAGAACCCTCTGAGTCCTACCTGCTGGATGGAGGGGCTCCTGCAGCTGGCTGCTGTGTAAGGCACTGGTGTGTGTATCACAGCACAACTGAAAAGAAGCTACCTGCCCATGTTTCTTCCTCTAGACTAAAACCTAACTAAAAGGCAGGTCTGTCCTCCACAAGTCCTCGATTATCAAGTTCAGTGGCTAGAACAAATCTTTTGGCCAAGGCCCTTAGGTTGGAGAAAGCAGCTTTTAATTTGGAACTACTATAAGGACAAGTAATCTCTCCAAGTTATTTATTAGACTGACACAAAAGGAACTACAAAGAACATGCCCCAAAACGCTGGACATGGTTCATATTGAAACAACATGTGCCAGATGCTGGACCCAGAGCTTGGACTTCAAGGTGGAAAGGGGAAAGTGCAGGTGGGCTGGGACAACTCCAGCCCTGACTGGCTAAATTTCAGGCAAGACCAGACACCTGGTCTCACAGCCAGGATCCCTCAACTGTACACATTCTTGACTCGGGCTGAACTCTCTCTGAAGTAACCACTCAGGACTCAATCAGAGTCACTGTCTGTCTCGGCTTCTTTCACATCCACACTGAATTTGTACTCCTGGTCACAGCCCATGTAAGCATCACTCATGAAGTAGAGGGTGTAGTTGTGAGCACCAGTGGCTGGGGCCACAAAGTCCAGCTTCACCTAGAAAGAGCAGCAGGGAATCAGGACATGGCCCCAGGGGAAAGTGTTCTCACCCTGCCCCCACCCAAGACAGATGTAGGGCCAGTGGCCACTCTCACCTTGGCCTTCTGCTGCAGGGTCAGCCTCTTGATGGAGATGAGGCTGTTGGACTTGGCATCTCCGATCACCACCCACCAGCCCTCTTCACGTTTCTGCAGTGACCAAAACCCAAGAATTTCAGCATGTCAAACTGGATGGCTACAGGCAGCTGTGAGAATGGTCACAACACCAGACACATTCCTGGTGTTCCTTCTGGTAATGCCAATAGATTAAAGATTTTGAAACCATCAAAAGGCTCAGGGGTTTGGAGGATAGTTAATGGCTTGCCTACCACTGTAAAGCCCTGGCTTCGATCCCCAGCACCACAAAAATAAAGTGTCTCAAAGGCTTTCATCCTGCAGTAGGCAGATAACCTCATCTGCTGGTCCTAGCTCATTTCCTCCCCCAGGATACCTCCTCGTTTAGTATTTGCCTTTGAATCCAATGCCACCACCAGAAAGCTCATCTTGGGGGGGGATTTGTTCCTCAGAGTCCTTTTTAAGCACAAAGAAAACAGGCCAGAGGAGAAATCTTAACCTGGAGACAAACCTGCCACAGAGGATTCAAGGCACATTCTTCTGAAGCCCTGCCTGGGGGAGACGCCCTCCCTGCTGGCCACTCTACTGTCAGAGCCCCCGTGGCCTAGTTTAATAAGCTCTCCTCACAGCCTGCTGAACAAATCAGCCACAGAAATAAACGTGAAGTTCATCTGGCTTCTGTGGCCAGCCTACAATAATTCTCCCACAAAAAGAGGATCAGATTTCCTTTCTGGTGGTAGAGAAACAAGCAACTAGATGCAGAGTGAGTGGGAACAACATACAAGAAAAGTGTCCTGGAGCCATTTAAAACACAGGAGATAACATTCAAGAGACTGACAACACTACCCAAATGTTTTTAATAATGATGTCGTCTAAGTTGTTCCAAAAGCAAGCAGATAACCCCATGGCCCCTAGAGGAGTTTTCAGCCTTGTGAGTTAATTTTCACTCACTTCCCTCCTGTATGGGGAAAGCACACCACGCCCAGAACAGGGCCTCACCCTAACACCAGGACGTACCTGTGGGAAGAGAGGCGCAATAACAGGGCCTGTGACTTCCTCCTCTCGCTCCAGCTGCACCAGAACCACCACTGGCCCACCACTGTGGGGAGAGCAGGGCAGCACATGAGTGATGTGGCCGTGGCCTCTCAGCATAGTGTCATGCCGTGCCCACGGGGACCCAGGGTGGTGCCTGGCTCACCTGCGGATGCTGTCTTTGTCCACCACCTCATAGGACAGTTCGATATTCGGGTAGCGGTTGCAGAAGCGGGCTACATCGGCAATCTGGCCGTCCGTCAGCTGCAGCAGCGCGTTCCGCTCCTCATCCTCCATCTCCATAATGTCAAAGACGCTCTCCACTCCCTGCCGTGGGCGCGCAGAGGTCAGAGGAGGACACAAACCACAACGAATGGCCCCAGCTCCAAGGACCGCTGTCTCGACTTCCCACACTAGCCGTGTCTGAAGGTGCTCTGGGAAGAACAGCCCATGGCTGGCAGCCTCCAGCATCTGGAAGCTGGGCCCTCGGGGAACCACAACTGCACTTCCCCTGCTGAGACCTCCCACGGCCCTCCCAGAACAGGATTCTGGGCTCTCAGGCTCACCCCCCAGCACTCCAGGCCACCCAGCCCACCTTGTCTGTGCAACGTTTGATGTGCTCTGAAGTGAAGTGTGGCAGCTGCTTCAGATATGAGTCCTTGGACCACATGGCCTGAGTGACCATCTGGGCCAGTTCCATGGCTGCCAGAGCAGGGCTGAGCCATCCATTGCTGGACAGCACGTCCACACAGGCCTGAATAAGCCGGATTGCCTGAATACGGGCAGAGTACAAGAGCAGGCAGGGTTGGAAGCGAGGCTTCCCAGGCTGCCAAGGGCCCACCGACCCCACCCCAGCAGCGCCATGCCACCTTGCTAAGGATCTCCTCAGTATCTGACTGCAGCTCGGCACTCAGCTGCATGCGGGACAGGTGAGCCTGCAGGAGCAGGTTGGTCTTCACGTGTGGATCATTGAATTTAGGGTTATTCAGCTTGTGGGGGACCTTCTGAGCCAACTGCAATGAGGAAGAAAAGAGGTGGTGCTGAACAGGTGACCCTGCCTGAGACACTTAGGCCAAAGACACTATGTGGTTTAGACCATGGAGGGTGAGGGTAGAGAGGAGGGTGAGGGTAGGGAGGAGGGTGAGGGTAGGGAGGAGGGTGAGGGTAGGGAGGAGGGTGATGTGCAGGAAGGGAGTGATGTGCGGGGAGCGGGGTGATGTGTGGGAAGGCAGAGCTGTATGGGGGTCTCGGTGGCACTGCAACACATACACAGGCCAAGCTTCAACTCCAAGTTGTTCTTCTGAGCCTGATATTTACCTGACGCAGAAGGTTGTCTTCGTGATGCCGGATAGGAATGTTCTCGTACTCTGCTGCATTGGAGATGATCTCGATAAGCCCTCGCACCTTGGTCTTGGCATTCAGGGACATGCTGAAGAGCTCTGCCAGGGAAAGAGGAAACATGAGAGGAGCCAGGAGCAGATGGAAAGCAATAGGAGGAGCAAGAGTCAGCACCCAGGCTGTGCTGCTTCCTGGGAGGCCCTGTCAATGGGCTTCAGATGCCCCACACAGGGAGGCTCCTCAGACAGACTGAGCTGCGTGGCCCTCACCAATAGTGGTGTAGTTGATGTAGTAATAGGCAGCAATCATGCCCAGGTTCAGAGGCGCCACATCCATCTCGTCTTCGATGCTGATGCACTTGGATTGCTCCAGGTCACTAAGGGTCTGCTCCACCAGCTCTGACAAGTGGTCAGACAGGTGACGATGAGAGATGCCTGTGGAGGAGAGAGGTGGGTGGGGAGTCTCAGGCAGGGAGATGCCCTGCGAGGGCTGGGAACACCAGCAAGGACAGTGTGTGCTCCCGAGTCCACTGACCCTGAAGGTTGTAGTAATTGGGGTTCTGTGTCATCCGGCGGTACAGAAAGGTCCAGGTGAGGTAGTCCACAGCATCCTGCTTGTTCTCAATGGTCTTGGTGACAATCTCAGCATTGAAGTGATCATGCATACAGTGGTCCAGGTGAGATTCTACTGGCAATGGCTCGTATAAAAACTTTTTGAAGAAATCCTATGGATTGGGGAAAGGGAAATAGTCGTAGGGAATCAATGACAACATGGTCACAAAAAAGGTCAAGGGCAAACCAATAAGGAGTAACCCTTGTGTGAAACAAACAATAGCAAAATGAAGAAACCACACATTTAGAAACATAGAGTAGGATCAGGGAAATACTGAGTCA